TGGGTTGGGCCGCTGCCTTCGGCTCGGTTCATGATCTCAGGGTCCTGGGATCGAGTCCCACATCGGGCTCTCTGCTTGGCAGGGAGCCTGCTTCCCTCTCTCTCTCTGCCTGCCTCTCTGTCTACTTGTGATCTCTGTATGTCAAATAAATAAATAAAATCTTTAAAAAAAAAAAAAAAAAAAGAATATGGGATCTTTGGTGAAGGCTATCATTCCCAAATGATGTGAAAGACCTCTACAGACCTTAATGAATGAAAACATCTCTCTTTCCCAGGAGAGGTCCTGAGGAATACTGGAGACTATGACCCGGCTACCCAAAGCAAAATACAATTAATGTTGGTTTATTCCGAAGGCACAGTATCTTTGAAACACTTTTATTACTTTACTAAAATGTGTGATTTTCCATGTATATTTACTCTGGCCTCAGTTGAGTCCATATGGAAATTGTTACAGCCTTAATTTCTGCTAGATTGTAAAACTGAATCCTTTATCGGATCAGCCCTGATCACCTATCTAGATAACTTATAATTAGAGGCTCAGGCTTTGGTTAGGGAAGCACTTATTCAGCTCAATTCCTGGTTCTGCCCCTTGGTAACTACATATACCTACGCAGCTGTCAGAGACTTGGTTCCTTATCTGCAAAATGGGGGTAATAATGCATAAGAGGCTCTTTCGAGGATAAATACAATAGTGTATATAATGCAACTAGTTCTACAAATGGTAGCTAATTACATATAAGTATTCTTATTAAACACGTATACTAGGTACTGTACCGCTGCCCTCTAATTTTTTTAATCATATAAGGTTTCAGAGGCCCCAGGACTGAAGAAATTATTTCCAGTGCTCGAGGAATTACATTGATCTCTTTCTTCACCAGTGCCAAGTGTCCTAAGGCTAGCTGTGGAGTGGGGTTTAAGGATTATCACGTGGAGATCCTCTCTCCACTCTTGATTCATTCACTGTAGTCAATGCCGCTCCAATTTCCATTAAGTAAAAGGTTTTCTCTAATCCATATACATTGAACTGGGGCTTGACTTTGGTGAGATATAAGAGAGTAATTGCTTTGAGGAGGTTCTAGTAACATCAAAACAGAAGAGAAGGGCTCCAGTGATTTGTCAGGCAGCTTTTAAAATTGTTGTTTTTAATAGCAAGAAGAAAGATTTTTCATGGTTTTAAGGCAAGGCTTTGACTAATTTTTTTTTTGAACTACAATTCCCAGAATGCCATCTACCTTATAAAAATGAAAGCTTACTTGAATTTCACATTGAGAGTCTGAGATCGATTTGTCTGTTTCACGGCTAGTGCACTACTCAGAGCCAAGCAACAGTGCACGTAGAAAACGTTTCCAGGACTTAAGTGAAAGAGGCCAGTAACTAAACTAACCCGAATAATATTTTTGAGGCATTATTTGGCTTAATGCTTCGGTTGTATTTTCCTTTGTAGTGGGGAACTGCTCCTCCTAATGTTCGATGTCTCAAGCACTATTCCGCTGCCCAATAATTACTAGGGCTAAAAGCCATTCTAACCCTGAGGATGATCGTCTGTCGTTGAAGATTTCTAAGGCAAATTAGTCTAAGGAAAACAGCAATATTTACAGATCTCTGAATCAGAAGACGAAGACCTGAACCATAATTTTGATTTCTATAAGTATTTTTCTTTATTTTGATATATACTGAGTGATATTTACATGGTCCTTGGGTAAAGAGCCAGGGGTAAAGACTGCTACCTGAGCACCAGACTCAAAGAGGAAAAACTCAACTGTGAGGAAATGAGGTCCCTCCATGGGTCCTTGTTTTGGTTTCTCCAGAATGCCTGACTACTGCAAAACATCTTTCCTCTCCCCTTGTTTCTGGAAAAAGGAGAAAAAAAAAACAACAACAAACAACCCAGCAGTGAAACTACTACCATTTATTGCCTAGGAGGTTCTGACTCTCTTATATCAGAGCTAATGATAAAAACACAGCTTAGGGCATCGAGTCAGACTGCATGAGTTCCCTACTCCACCCCTCCGTGGATGTAATAAATGGGTATAAATAGAAGCCCTTTAAGCCTCATGTATAGCCTTTAACATGGGGATTACTACAGTGTCTCCCAACAGGGTTGCCATATGAATTAAATGAGATAATACACAAAGACTGTTTAGCATAGGGATGGGCTCGTGCTAATCAGTCTATAGATGCCAGCTATCGTTATGAGCACCTTAAAGTAACCTTTGGCTTCTCTTCTTCCTTCAGCCACCATATCTGATCTGTCAACAAGCCCTGTCAATTCATATACTCATTCTCCCCCCCCATATATTGCCTATGTGGCGAATGAATAAAAGATTGCTAAGAAGGATACATACCCACGCAAGAGAACATATTGGTTTTCTCTAAGGAGGCAGATGGGGGGCAGTTTGAGAAGGGGAACAAGGAAGTTTTATTGTTGATGTTTTATGTCTATAAAAAATATATATGAGGGGCATCTGGGTGGTGCAGCCCATTGAGTGTCCAACCCTTGGTTTCGGCTTAGGTCATGATCTCAGGGTCCTGGGCAGGGTCCTGGGATTGAGCCCCACGTTGGGCTCTGCAATTGGTGCAGAATCTGCTTGAGTTTCTTTCCCTCTCCCTCTGCCCCCTCACACATGTGTACATTCTCTCTAAAATAAATTAATTAAAAAATACATATCTGAAATAAATATGGCAATAAGGGTTATATGGTATTTTTCTGTACTTTTTTTTTTTTTTTTTTTTTTTTGGTGCAAAATGGTTGTACTTTTCTTTAGGTTAGAATTTCGTCACCATTTAACCAACATCGACAACAAAATCACAAACGTTCTCCCACAGCACTGGACTCACTATTCAACAAGTTACTTGATCTGTGTTTGCCTCATTTTCCTTATCTGTAAAATGGGAAGACCAGCATTTTTCTGGCAGGATGACAAGGAAGAATTAAATGAAATTATGGATGGGCCTTTAAAAAGAGATACTGTTGTCTTGGTTGTAATTGTGATTACCATCTGGTAGTTTCTTAGTCCGTCGTGAGTTTACTCTCTAATTCAGAATGCACCGGCTTGTAGGATAATCTTCCTCAAACACAGCTAACTCTCTCAGGTCTCCCCCAAGAACCTGTATTCTATCCCCCTGCTGTAGCAGGGGAGGCCATCCGTGTGATGCTTTCCTGAGCCCCTCTCCCTCCCCCAGCGCTGGGGTGGTCCCTTGCTCATGCCGCCTACCATTTGCACTGTACTTCGAGATCCCTAAGAAGCAAGTGAGCTTGATTCTGCCCGATAATGTTGCAGTGGAAGAAATAAGGAGGGAAAGCAGAAAGGAAGAAAAAGACTCAGGGTTGGGCTCTAATTCTGGTTCCCGCAGGTGCCCTTGCTGAGACTGTCTTGCTGAGACAGGTTGTAGGTTCTGTGTTCAATGCCCTGTCTGGGGTGTGGGCTGGTTGCACACACGAAGCCCCTACATCAGGTCTCTTACATAGTCCTCTTTCCCTATGCTCAGAACAAATCCTCTGCCATCACGTGGGGCTTGAATGTGTCACACGTTCACTCTAATTTGGTTCTTGTTTCCACATTTTATCTTCTCTCCAAAACCCTGCCTGCCCAAGTTCTAGGCCTTCTAAGAAACTTTCCTCAATATATTTTACCCATTTAAAACAAAACAAAACAAAACAAAACTGGGCACTTGGGTGGCTCAGTGGGTTAAGCCTCTGCCTTCAGCTCAGGTCATGGTCTCAGGGTCCTGGGATCGAGCCCCACATTGGGCTCTCTGCTCAGCGGGGAACCTGCTTCCTCCTCTCTCTCTCTCTCTCTCTGCCTACTTCTGATCTCTGTCTGCCAAATAAATAAAAATATTAAAATTTCCAACACTTATTTTAAAAACAAACTAACACATCTATAACTTATAAAGTGCTAGTCACTGTTCTACATTGTGTATTTTTGCATTTATTTTATCCTCAAAACTCTGTGAAGTAACTAGTGTCATCCCATTTTAGTGATGAGGGAACTGAGGCACAGAGAGATTAACTGGACTTGGCCAACTTACACAGCTAGTACGTGGCAGAACTTGAACGCAGATGGTCTGCTTCGGACTACATACTTTGTCGCCCCATGAAAACCTCTTTCTAACAATAGCTTTAACTTCTTCCATGCTGTGTCGTATAGTTTTTTCATTAAAACTGAGTAATCCACTACTTTATATTCTCTTATATTATTTGGTCACTCCTAGCATTATGTTAACACCCTATAAATACCGATTATTAGAAATTAAATCCTTACACGATTATGTAAGCCCCGGGAGGTAGACCTTCAAAAACTCGGGTAGGACTGCATTCCCAGAATGTACTCACTGACACGGATAGCAGTCCTGGGAGATGGACAGGCCATATCAATGACAGTTGAGAAAAGTGAGCCACAGAAGAGTTAAGTGACTTATTCCAAATTATACACCGAACAGCAGTGCCTGGACCCAATCAATACCACCTGATTCCAAGTCATGGCACTTTTCTATAGCAGGCTTTCTGGAATTTCTCCAAGGTCAGGTCATAGCAGTGGAGACACTTGGAATATAGACAGGAAGCAAGGAGCGGAAGGGGTGCATACGCCCTTATTCATGCCGTGTCTTTTGCATTTTTTTTAAAAGGATTTTATTTATTTATTTGACAGATCACCAGTAGGCAGAGAGGCAGGCAGAGAGGGGGGGGAAGCAGGCTCCCCGCTGAGCAGAGAGCCCGATGCAGCTCCATCCCAGGACCCTGGGATCATGACCTGAGCAGAAGGCAGGGGCTTAACCCACTGAGCCACGCAGGTGCCCCTTTTGCATATTTTTTATTTTAAAAAGGGCGTGGCAAAAATCCTGGCTTCAAGCTGTCCTTAGTTGATTGGGACCTGTCCCACATACATTACAAGGAGTTCATTACCATAGCCTGTCCTCACTGTCACTTGTGATCTACCAGTGATGACCTGACAATACGTTTCAGGACCCACTGTTCTCGTACACAAGCCAGTTCCTTACCTGTTGTCCGTGCCATTGCTCCGGGGGTGGAGGTTTTCTCGGCCATTCTTCCGCGCTACTTTTCTGCTTGCCTCCTCTTCCGTCTCACTCAGACTTTCCTCCTCTAAGCTGTCCGGCTCCATATTGTTGTCTCGGATTTGGTCTTCAAGCTGGGACTTACTCTCTTGAGTGAAGCTTCCCGAATCAGATTCCAAGGAGTCTTTTGAAATCAGATGTAAGTCCTTCTGAAAAGGTGGCTCTGTGGACCGGATCTTTAAGTTGGTATGATGAACAGGAGATTGAATTGAGAGCTTGGGAATTAATTTACTATGACTCATTTTGGAAACATACAAATGTGAATATGAACACAGATATTCTTGATGATAGGAGCAGTTGGCTTGAATATTTAAAGTTGTGGTTTACAAAGGCATTACCTAAAAAAAAAAAAAAATTGTATTTATGTCACTTTGTGACTACTGAATTCTCTTTAATTTCAATGTTAATCAAACATTTAAGTGAGCAGAACCCTGTTACATTATCTGCAGCCTTTTGTATGTACGCTTTTGTCTGAGGAAGGTCTACTGGAAAACCTATTGTGTTTTTCTCTCTACAGAAACATATCTGATGTGGAGTTCATAAACAGCCTGAGTAATCAAATACAGCTTTATTGAGGAAATCAAATGGCTGGATTCCTTTTTCTACCTTCCAAGGGCCTATTACACACAAGCCTAGATAAAGCTAAATGGTTAATTATGGAGGGTACTTCGATGGCTTTATTTCAAATACCCAGGGCACCAACATAAATATGTCACATTTAGGAGTATTTATGAATAGAGTAAAACATATTTCGGTTCTACCTTTTGAAAAGCAAAGGAGAGAGTGGAGAAGAGAGTGAGGAAGAGAGTGGTTTCCATAGTTGGAACTGTAAAGAGGGAAGCTGTTTTATGCCTAGATCTATATTGGCTGGTTTCATCATTTAGAAGACATTTTGGATCCCCGGTTGCCACTAGATAGGAATGAGTAATTTAGGTGGACATTACATGGAGATTAATATCAGCTTAATCTGTGTGTGTGTGTGTGTGTGTGTGTGTACACAGTGATTACAACTGTCTAATGCAAAATTTGGAGGTTTTGTGAATCCTGCCACTAAGTGATTCGTAGCAGAGGCTGAATGTCTGCCTACCTGAAAAGGATGTTGTCCTTGAGAATATTAGGTGGGTGGGAGATTGGCCAGAGTAACAGCTAGGGTCCCTTCTAACTCTCTTAAGTGTGTGATTCTAAGTGAGCCTTCCTTGTTTCAGAGGGCTGTCATGAAGACCCATGAGATGGTTTATGGAAAGGGTGCTCTAAGTTCGTATCAGATTGAAAGGAGATGATGATTTTGGATTGTGCTTCCTTTCATCTCTCCCCGGCATTTCTATTTTGCTCAGTCTTCTATCTCACTGCCTTTGTGCCATTTTTCTCCCCCCATAGGTCAGACAACTGAAACTTTTTACCGTCCGAGATTCCTATAACATTTTCTAAGGGTTTGCTCCTATTCTTTTGGCAAATGCCGGCTTTAATTAGATAACATGAACTTATTCCTATTCCTTGCACTGTTAGTAATGTTGACCTCATTGCTAACACCATCAAACACCTTAGAGGAAAGTACCTTAACAAACAAGACAGACAAAAGGTAGCATTCAGATTTAAATGCATACAAAGTGGTTTTCTTATTAATTTGAAGTTTCCCAAGCTGGTATTATACATATAAATAATATATTATTGTTTAACCGTACAGACGGCTTTGCTGTATCATCTTATTTTAAAAATACATAGTGTGCCCTATCTTATTACTTTAATATTGACAAGTAGATGAACTCTTGCTTTTTAGGGAGTCTTTAGAAAGCAAATCCAAGTACTAACTAGCATTTAACAGAAACAGTTTGTATAAACATCTGTAAGAGTTTTACTGGATGGGTTTAAGTCACTGTACTTGGGATTGTTAAAGAAAAAGCTTAAAATGATCATTCTGTTTCAGTTTGGTATTGCTCATGAAATCAGTCAGTCCTATCAATTGCTCTCCTTAAATGAGATAGACTAAGATTTCTTAAGTGATAACACATTTTTTAAAAGTCCATAGAAGATAATTTTGTGGTAATTAGTGAAATCTGGAATAGTGCAGAGAATACAAAGCCGAACACTAGCAAACCTGGGGCTTTGGAGAGGCCTGATCTTATACAGGCATGAGATTAAAGAAGGAAAAGCTGGTATCTCTAGTACATTAGCAAGTAGGCATTTTACATGCAATGAATGTGGCTCCCTAGTGGCACAATTGTTTTTCACTGAAATTTCTGACCAGTCTCGTTACAAAAGTAAACAAGGCGGACTGGGGTGTCGCCAGTGGTATCCAGGCACGAAGACGCAGCCAGTTCCCTCGGGTTCCCTTCAAGGCCTTGGGTCTCTTCCTCTAGTAGCGGGAGGAACGAATTTCCTTCTGTAGGTGAAAAGGAACCCTGCTCACTCTGGCCAAGATGAAAGGTAGAGAAAAAGTTGCCCTATTGTGGAACAGCCCAGAAGCTGCCCATAAGGGATGATCGGTTTGTTTTCTCTCTTTTTTCTGATGGACAAAACCTAGCAGCAAAGGCGTTTTAAGATCAAGGAGGTGACAGGTGGGGACGGGGGAGGGGTGGTCTGGTGCCCCGGACTGGTGTTTATCAACAGAAGACAGGGCTGCTCTGAGAGTCTGGGCACCAAAGTCTCTCCAGGTGCCGGCCTCTGGGTCCTTGTGCCTGCCTTGCCACGGTCCCGCCTTCCCGCCCGGGCCCCAAAGTTGCGGTTCTCCTGGTCCCGATACAGTTTCCTCTGGAGATTTCCTGCTGTCCCCCCCAACCCCAGTCCCAGTCCTTCCCATTTCCCTTCCCCGGCGCGCGCACCCTCGTTCAGGAGGCAACCGCCTGTCACCTGCCCAGGGCTCCTCGGCGACCGCGACCCCTGCAGACCTCATCCTGCCGAGCCGCTACAGCCCCGCCCCACCCGCGTGGCAGGTGCTGCCGTGGAGACCGCGGCCAACAGAGCTTGCCGCCTGCCCGGCTTAGGGGGCGGGGCTCGGCTTAGGGGGCGGGGCTCGGCTCAGGGGGCGGGGCTCGGCTCAGAGGGCGGGACCAGTGCGGTGGCATTCCCCGCCCCCGAAGAGCGGGTGGGACCGGTTGTGAAGATTGTGTTGAAGGGCAGGGAACTCTGGGCCTGGCTGGTGTAGGGCCGTCTTGACTTCCATGGTTGGAAAGCAAGGAAAGGCAGGCCACGGAGTGGGAGGAAATAATTCCGACAAATACTGCTAGAAGGGGCAAAGGACTCCTACAAATTAAGAAGGAAAATCCAGTGAAAGAATGGGTAAATGACTTGGACAGAAATCCAAATGGCAGATAAATATTTGTTTTTTTTTATTGAAAAGGTGCTTAATTCATTAATAATCAGAAGAGGCCAACTTAAAACCATATGGGATATCTATCACTCCATACTCCTCAGATAGGCGTAAGTCAAAAAGAGATAGAGCCCCCAGGGTAGGGGAGGATGCGGAGCAAGGAACCCTCGTGCGCTACAGATGGGAGTGTGAAGTGGCGCGGCTGCTTTGGAAAATAGTTCAAGGTTAGCTGGGATGTACCTATCCTGTGATAAACCAATTTCACTTATAGGTACCTACCTCTCAAACTTCTGTGCACCCAAACTGAAAACGACTGTCCAACGGTAGAACAGTTAATTAAAATGTGCTCTTCCATCCTCTAGCTTACTATATAACAGTGACAATGAATTAAATGCAGCAACAACACAGAGAGACTTTTAAAGATTTTATTTATTTGACAGAGATCACAAGTAGGTAGAGAGGCAGGCAGAGAGAGAGAGGGGGAAGAAGGCTCCCTGCTGAGCAGAGAGCCCGATGCAGGGCTCGATGCCAGGACCCTGGGACCATGACCTGAACCAAAGGCAGAGGCTTTAACCCACTGAGCCACCCAGGCACCCCCACAGAGGGACTTTTGAAAGTCTGTCAGACTCCTGGTTTCAGCTCAGGTCATGATCTCAGAGCTGTGAGATGGAGCGGTGGGTGGGGCTCCCTGATCACTGAGGAAGTCTGCTTCTGTTTTCTTTCCCTCTCCCTTTGCCTGTCCTCTCTGCTTGGGCTGACTCTCTCTGAAATAAAGAAATCTTTTTAAAAATGTTGAGGAAAAAACTCCTTAATATACACATTGTATGATTTTTATATATAAAAATTACAAACAGGAAAATTTAAACTGTACTGTATTTATGGATGTACAGTTAATGGAGAAAACTGAAAAGAAGCGAAGTGATTCTCATAAAGTTAGGACTGTGGTTAGCTCGGGGGGGGGAGGGCATGTTGACACAGGGTTTGTGAGATTGCTGTTCCTGACTTAATGCTAGTTACATAGATACTCATTTTATAATAGTTCATTAAGTTTATTTACACTTACATATATGTATATAGAATATTTAATATTAAAAAGCCTTTAAAGAAGAGTAAAAAGGGATGTCTGGATGGCTCAGTTGTTAAGCATCTGCCTTCAGCTCAGGTCATGATCCCAGGGTCCTGGGATGGAGCCCCACATCGGCTCCCTGCTTAGCGGGAAGCCTGCTTTCCTTTCCCACTGCTTGAGTTCCTGATCTCGCTGTCTCTCTCTCTCTGTCAGATAAATAAAATCTTAAAAAAAAAGAGAGTAAAAAAAAAAAGTGTTGGGAATTATATTCACTTTAACATAGCATTAAAACCACAAGTAGATTTGAATAACTACTGCAGAGCTAAGAATGATTCCAGTTGCCTCATTCACGACAGGAAACAGAGAATTGGAAAATATCTTTACTACTCAATTTTACTCTTTTTTTATTCTGCTTTTTATTCGAGTTGGATATTTTATTTTATTTTTTAAAAAGATTTTATTTATTTGACAGAGATCACAAGTAGGCGGAGAGGCAGGCAGAGAGAGGGGGAAGCAGGCTCCCCACTGAGCAGAGAGCCTGATGCAGGGCTCAATCCCAGGACCCTGAGATCATGACCTGAGCCGAAGGCAGAGACTTTAACCCACTGAGCCACCCAGGCGCCCCTCTAGTTGGATATTTTAAAAAAGAAACTTCTTTGACAGCAGTTACCTTGTCTTATGACTATACAATGGAACCTCATTTAAGAAAGGAAAGCAAGGTAGCCAAAAACAGTGGGGGTATTCTGCCCAGCATATGATACAAAGTAACATCAGAGCCACTGCAAATGTGCCAACCAACCCCAAGCAGAAGGCTTTGTTCCCCAGAGCAGCTTCTGGAATATGTGAGGGCGTGGTTGCTGAGTCATTCC